GAGAGAGATTTCTGCAGTCAGGTAGGTGGTTTTTGCAGACAGTCAGGTAGATGGTTTCAGAACTAGATTTTATTGTGAGCGAAGTGTTTCTAAAATGCTATCTGGACGGTAGGGCTGCAGTACAGTGTGAGGACAGAGGTGTGCCACCCAAGGTTCAAAAAGGATTCCTATAGAGAGATTGAGGGGACTTCTGGTGGGAGGAAAGAAGCTCCTAGGAAAGTCGGGGGCCCGTAGGCACTGCTGGGGACAGGGATGGAGGAAGGCACTGCAGGTCCCAGTGTCAACAGGTCCGGACTCAGTCGCTGTGTCCTGAAGTTCTCTGGGAAGGTGCCTCTCCCATAGGAATCTTCTGAGGCCTGGGGAGGGGTGTAGTCCCAGGTGGGGCTCACAGTTGCTGGAGGGTAGAGCCCCGTGTTGCCATAGGCCCAGCTGGTGTATGGTGAGCCTCTTGGGGTCCCCTCCAGACAGAAGAGGCATGAATTCACCAGGAAGACTGTTTGGGGGGGTATGAGAAGGAAGAAAGAAGGGAACAGAAGGTCTGAAGCCATCCTGCTTTCAGGGTGCAGTGATTCCCAACAGCCCCACATGGTGGCCAACCTTCCCACCTTCCCATAGGTTGCCAGAGCAGCTGCTGGCCATTGGGTGACTCCTGGGTCTGAGCCCCACTGGCCACTCTGGCAGCTGCAGTCACCTGCAGCCTTTTCCCAATGGGCTTTGAGCATAACTTTGTGGAGCCCCATGGGCCACTCAACTAGGGCCACCCCCACCTACTTACCATATTCATTCCTAATGAAGCAGTCTGGGGATATACATTCCCAGGTCTGCACATACACAGGGAACGTGATCCACACAGCCTCGTGAGGGCTTCCAGCCATTTCTAAGATGGCCTCTTTGTTGGGTTCTACACTAGCTAAAGGTCTCCATGGCAACCCCAGTAACATGGAACCCTGCCGGAAAAGCCAGTGCAGCAGCTGCCTGCATATGCTCCAACTGGGGCTGGGGATCGAACCTAAACCCAGGTGCATGCCCTTGTCTGGGAATCAAACCCGAGACCCTTCAGTGCACAAGCCCATGCTCTCACCACTGAGAACACCAGCCAGGGCTCATTAAAGGACCCATGAGAGGTTCCTATGGGCCAGGCCTGGAAATTGTGTATGTCACTTTGCTCTCTCCATTGATCAGAACTGTCACATGTCCACGCGTCATTGTAAGGGAGGCTGGGAAAGTTAGTGAGTCAGGAAGAAAGGAGAACAGAGTTGAAAAGCCTATAGCAGTGCCTGCTCCAGGATTCTGTGGACTCCCCAGAGCTACGCTGTATTATGTGGTAGCCACTAGCCACAGTCAGGACAGTGGCTCCTGTACAAGGTGAGGGCAAGGCTTCCAGACCAAGGCTGTCAGAGAGAGAGTCACATCAGGGCTTCCTATACAGGGTCAGGAGGGTGTTTCCAGAGGGCAAGTTTAGGGGTTCCTATGAAAGATCAGGTCAGAGATTCCCGAAATGGGTCAAGTTACGGATTTCTGTTGGAAGTCAGGGAAAGGTTTCTGTAGAATCTGGCTATAGGCTCCAGCACTGCTATAGGCTAGGCTTCCTGTGGAGGGTCAGGGCCATGGAGCCAGGACAGGGTTAGATCAGCAAGCCCAGTACAGTGTCTGGGAAGGGGGGGTCCTGTGCCAGGTGAGGCTGTGGGTGCCTATATAGGATGAGGTCTGGACTTAAAGCAGGGGGTCAGGACAGGTGCCCCACCACAGGTTCAGGAAAGGATTTTCCATGTAAGTTCAAGACTGAGGTTCATGTTGAGAGTTGGATCACAGGTTCCTGTGGACTCTGTGGGGTGGGGCGTGAGGTAGGGATTGTTGTGAAGAGTGACGTCAGGGGTCATCGTCAACAATGCAAGCAAGTTCTTGTACTCAGTCAGCATTCCCAGAGTTTACAGATGGGGATTTCTTTTTTATATAATATATTTTTATTGATTTCAGAGAGGAATGGAGAGGGGGAGATAGAAATAGCAATGATGAGAAAGAATCATTGATCAGTTGCCTCCTGGACGCCCCCTCCTGGGGATGGAACCCACAACCCGAATATGTGTCCTGAGTGGGAATCGAACTAGTGACCTCTTGGTTCATGAGTTGATGCTCAACCACTGAGCCACACCGGCTGGACTAGAGTATTTTTTCAGGTGTTCATGAACGAAAGCACCTGAGCAGTCCAGCTATTGTTGACCACAACCTTGAGCACTCAGGAAACGGTGCTGCTTGCGGTTAGGAGCCTCTGGGCAGTGTGGAGGCTACGCCACGGAGCCTGGCTCAGCCCTGTGCCACCAGCTGTGTGGCCATGGGAGAGCCACTTAATCTGTCTGGGTTAGGATGTCACCTGACTCTGTGCATGGTCCAATGTGAGGGTTTGTTCCATGGAAGAACAGATTCCACTTTAGGGGGAGCAGTTCACCCAGGTGAGTGGGTGCGTTGGGGAGGGAGTTGGCACTGTGGGGAGCTCACCACTTATGGGGTCTAAATATCCCCCCTAGAGATTATTTTGTTCTCCTAATCTCCCCCTCCTTCTCTACCATTTCCCACAGGGCTGCAGGCCGAGCTGGGCTGAGAGAGATAAGAGATGAGTGACAGGAGGGCCCATGGACAACCCCACGGTCCCAGACTGGCCTTCTGCCCTTCTTGCTGGCTGCCATTCCAGCCCCACTCTTGCCTCCCATTCCTGTCCTGAACATGTCTTCTGTCCCTTGGAGGTGGGTCCCTAACTTGCACCTATATATATATTGATACCTCCGCAAACAAGTGTACAGAGCTGCTCACGCTGTCAGCCACCCAGAGGCACTGTGACAGGGCACAGGATATGCGATACGCTCACATACACATGCTTGCACACAAGTGCTGCCCTTGCCAGACCCACAAAGACCTCCCGACACGCAGTACTTCAGGTCACACTGCTAGGTCTCCACATACCGTCCTACACAGTCCTTGTTGAGCATCCCAGAAATGTTTATTGAGCAAAGGCTGTGCCCGGTACACATGCTGTCACACCGTCTCAGAACCACCCTGCATGGTGCACAATCTCATGAGCACAGCCTCACATGTTGCCTCAGCACACCCCGTGACACACATACCCCCACGTCCTCTCATACAGTCACTTGTGCCCCGTTTCTCACAGTTGTCTGGTGTCATGCACACCGTCTCTCACAACCTCATCCCTATAGTCACCACCTCACAGAGCAGCCAGCCACCACACACTTTCTCTGCCCATGACGTGTGCATGTACACGCCATATCATACAACCTGGTTGCTCTCACACGCAGTTTCACATACTAATACACTCTTATACTTGCACATCATAACCCACTATCATGAAGGGTCACACGTGCTCTCACACAGCCTCACGCCATCACTAGAGAACCACAGGCACTGTTGCACACCCCACCTACCCCGGCTCTTTATTCAGTCCCACTCAGACTAACACCTCCAACTTCAGGACTTTGGTACTTTATTTTACGAATAGTTGATGGTCCAGACCAAGGGGTATGGGGGGCCCAGAGGGTTGGGTTGTAGAAACTTCTGGCTCCACGCGGAGAGGGACCCCACCCCTGCTCTGAGGCCATGCTCTGTGTCCTCATGAGCTGAGTGGCGCCTCCACAGTGCTGGTGGGAGGCATGGGGCCTGTGGGGAAGGAGCCTGTGGGCAAACCCAACAGGGGCCCGGGGAAAGGCATGAGGTGGCTGACAGGCCCTGATAGCACCTCGGGGCCGGGGCCTTGGTAGAGATGGGCAGTACCAGGTGGGCCCAGTGTCAAGCCTGAGGCCACTTCCCCACAATTCCCACCATCGCTGCCCCCAGCCACCACCATGAAGCCACCAGCCGGAGCATCAGCTGGTCCTGTGCCTGCCAGACTCGACACTGGCTTCTTTTGTTTCTGTGATGCCCTGGGTTTTCTAGTCTTTATGACATCGGTCCGCATGGTCAGTGGCCGGTTCACCTGATGAAAGAGAGGCCATGAGTGTTCACCAACCTCAGACTTTTGCCTCTGTGTCTCCACCCTTTCCACCCCACTCCTTAAGAGTCGGGAACTGGGTCAAGGACTAGGGGAGCAGACCCCAGCTGTGGCACAGGTAATGCCCTAAGGAATCATGAGCTTGTGAGGCCCTAAGCCAGGGAGCCTCTAGCCATAGGACTAGCTGATGGCTGGAGGGGCGGGGAAAGGAGATGAGAAATGGAGGAGAGAGAAGGGAAAGGGAGGGAAAAGAAAGGCAGGGAAGAGAGAATGGTGCAGAGAAGAGAGGGATGAGGGGGAAAGGAGGGAGTAGAATAACAGGGAGAAGAGAGGAAGGGAGTTTGGAAGAATACAGGAAAGGAAAAGGAGAAGGAAGACAGGGCTAGTGAGATGGGGGTGCAGGGGGGAGGCTCCAAGAGGCAGGGCACACCTGGTGTCGCTTGTAGTAAATGCCGCAGGCATTGCACACGGGGTCTCTATTGGCATTCAGCCGCCACACTGACGTGATGGTTGTCTGGCAGTTGGAGCACTGGGCACCTGCCCGCTTGCTGACCTTCTGGGGGCAGCAAGAATGTGAGGGTCAGTGCACTGGGGGGGTGGGGAGGTGGAGGACCCAGGAGGTGATGGTCAGGGTGCAGGCAGGGCTTCCTGGACAAGGCGTAGACTGAGGGTTCTCTAAGGGGTGAGGACATGGCCTCCTGTCCCTGGGCTTTCCAAATGGCGTGGGGGGCTTCATCAGTGGTTCTCAGCGTTGGCAGACATTGGACTCCCTTGGGGAGTCGAAAACAATCCTGATACACAGCCAGCGCCCCAGACCAAGTAAATCAACCCATCTAGGGAGGGCCCCACGGTGATCCCAGTGTGTAGCCAAGGATGAAAACTGCTGTGCAGGGAGTGGACGGCGTGCCTGCTTGCAGCCTGAGGGTGGGCTGAGGGTAGACACTCCTGCACAGAGCTGGGTCCCTGAATGGATGGGGCAGGGAGGGGGGATGTGGGTTCTCATAGAGTGTGAGGACAGAGATCCCTGCGCAGAGTGAGAACAGAGTACCTGGGTGAGGGGAGGCCGGCCTGGGCTCTTACCCGGCGCCTTTGGGACTTGTTCTGCCTTTTCATCATCTGACCATCGGCATTGCACAGCCAGCAATGTGGAGTGGCTCTTGCTCTGCAGTACCTATACTCCCTGCCATCTGGTGTGGTGGAAAGGGGGCAAGAGGGACCAGGCTCAGCCCAGCTTTGCTTTGGACCCCATCCCCCTCCTCAACCTCCCTGTCCCTTTGGGGGAACCTCACCACAGGTGGACAGGGGCAGGGTTCCAGGAAGGTTGGCGGAGGAATAGACCGCTGGACTGGGGGGGCTTCTGGTTGGCGGAAAGAAGCTCCTAGGAAAGTCGGGGGGCCCGTAGGCACTGCTGGGGACAGGGATGGAGGAAGGCACTGCAGGTCCCAGTGTCAACAGGTCCGGACTCAGTCGCTCTGTCCTGAAGTTCTCTGGGAAGGTGTTTCTTGAATAGGAATCTTCTGAGGCCTGGGGAGGGGTGTAGTCCCAGGGGGGGCTCACAGTTGTGGGATGGTAGAGCCCAGTGTTGTCATAGGCCCAGCTGGTGTATGGTGAGCCCCTTGGGGTCCCCTCCAGACAGTAGAGGCATGAATTCACTAGGAAGACTGTTTGGGGGGGTATGGGAAGGAAGAAAGAAGGGAACAGAAGGTCTGAAGCCATCCTGCTTTCAGGATGCAGTTATTCCCAACAGCCCCACATGGTGGCCAACCTTCCCACCTTCCCATAGGTTGCCAGAGCAGCTGCTGGCCATTGGGTGACTCCTGGGTCTGAGCCCCACTGGCCACTCTGGCAGCTGCAGTCACCTGCAGCCTTTTCCCAATGGGCTTTGAGCATAACTGTGTGGAGCCCCATGGGCCACTCAACTAGGGCCACCCCCACCTACTTACCATATTCAGTCCCAATGAGGCAGTCTGGGGATGTATATTCCCAGGTCTGCACATACACAGGGAACGTGATCCACACAGCCTCGTGAGGGCTTCCAGCCATTTCTAAGATGGCCTCTTTGTTGGGTTCTACACTAGCTAAGGGTCTCCATGGCAACCCCAGTAACATGGAACCCTGCCGGAAAAGCCAGTGCAGCAGCTGCCTGCATATGCTCCAACTGGGGCTGGGGATCGAACCTAAACCCAGGTGCATGCCCTTGTCTGGGAATCAAACCCGAGACCCTTCAGTGCACAAGCCCATGCTCTCACCACTGAGAACACCAGCCAGGGCTCATTAAAGGACCCATGAGAGGTTCCTATGGGTCAGGCCTGGAAGTTGTGTAAGTCATTGTGCTCTCTCCATTGATCAGAACTGTCACATGTCCACCTGTCATTGCAAGGGAGGCTGGGAAAGTGAGTGAGTCAGGAAGAAAGGGGACAGGGTTGAAAAGCCTATAGCAGTGCCTGCTCCAGGATTCTGTGGACTCCCCAGAGCTACGCTGTATCATGTGGTAGCCACTAGCCACAGTCAGGACAGTGGCTCCTGTACAAGGTGAGGGCAAGGCTTCCAGACCAAGGCTGTCAGAGAGAGAGTCACATCAGGGCTTCCTACACAGGGTCAGGAGGGTGTTTCCAGAGGGAAAGTTTAGGGGTTCCTATGAAAGATCAGGTCAGAGATTCCCGAAATGGGTCAAGTTACGGATTTCTGTTGGAAGTCAGGGAAAGGTTTCTGTAGAATCTGGCTATAGGCTCCAGCACTGCTATAGGCTAGGCTTCCTGTGGAGGGTCAGGGCCATGGAGCCAGGACAGGGTTAGATCAGCAAGCCCTGTACAGTGTCTGGGAAGGGGGGGTCCTGTGCCAGGTGAGGATGTGGTTGCCTATATAGGATGAGGTCTGGACTTAAAGCAGGGGGTCAGGACAGGTGCTCCACCACAGGTTCAGGAAAGGGTTTTCCATGTAAGTTCAAGACTGAGGTTCATGTTGAGAGTTGGATCACAGGTTCCTGTGGACTCTGTGGGGTAGGGTGTGAGGTAGGGGTTGTTGTGCAGAGTGACGTCAGGGGTCATTATCAACAATGTAAGC